TTGTGACCTTTTGGCAAGCAAAGTCAATGGCGAAGCCAGATTCACCTAACATTGGGTTACTAACTTATCAGCTGCAGTGATTCACTTAACAACTCTGGCCAGAAAGGTCGTAAAATGGGGCAAAACTCACTTTAAAAATGTCTCACTTAACAACAGAAACTTTTGGGCTCCACTGTGTTCATAAGCTGAGGACTACCTGTATTTTAAATAACTCTCATGTAACACTTAGTTCCCCTGTATTAACTACCTTCCTATGATGTGTAATTTCTCTGGATGCTGTAATGCCAAAATTAATTATGAGGGCACAGAATCTATAACACTGTGAAGTGTTTAACAAGCCACTGGTGCAACCTCAAGTTTAAAGCAAGGTTGGCTATGTGATATTGTGCTATTTTTAACATGGATATTTGTATTTAATCTTGCTTTCAGAGACACCCTCTTGACAATTAATTAACTGAGCAACTGTTGAAGCTCTATCCTCTCAGGGTTAGCTGTGACTCTAGAGACAAAGAGTGTGCTGTTAATTCAATTAAATTCGATGGAATGGGATAAGCTTGTCTGGGAGATAACAGCTAGAAAGACTGAGACTAATGATACTTAATTGGCAATAGATACACCCTTTGGGAGGATACAAAGTCAGTCCTTAAAATTTATAAAAATAAGAGAACCTTTATATACATTAAAATCTACTTAGTGAAAATATTTTATTTTACTACTGTTATTGTAAATAGAACCAACATTTTTGATAAAATGATGCTGGGGCATAAGTAATTCTCAAATGTTTGTTATCTTTACAGCACAAGCTGTAAATATACCCCCAACCTGGTGCCCCCAGCTGTCTTTTGACTGGAGCTCCGAATTCCCAGCCATGCTAGTTTGAAATGCTATGATTTGCAGTTTCAATATGTATGGAGAACATTACATTCAGAAAGCAATCCACTTTTGGTAAGACATAGCCCACCTGAAACATCAAGTAAATGGATCCCATCATCTAAGGCCTGAATAAATGTAATTCTATTTATTTCTGAAAATAACCTACCCCACACAATGTTTCTAATGTAATGGCATAACTGGTGCATGGTAGCTGGTGCTTTTCTCATGGATTTGCAGCAGTGTTTCCCAACATTTTCGGATGGACATTGCTTAAAATTCTGGAAGTAGAACTCTACACATTTATAAATGACCATGGTTGGGAAACACTGAATTACAAGGCCATATATTCAGCTGTTGCATAATTTTTTAAATTTACTGGTTAGCCCCATGATGTAAAAATGAAGTAATCTGCTTGACTCGACAAAGCAGGAATATCATCCTAGGTATTTGTTTTTAGTTATTCTAAAATGATAGAAACTCAAGCAGAAAGATCTACTCAACACTATTCATTATATGTCCTGAAACTCAGCATCCTATTTAAGCAGATAGTAAATAATTACTGATTATATGCCCTTTTTCCTAATAAACATATTTTTCTACCTAAATTTCCAGCTTCATTCCATTTCCCCCCAAAAAACATCCACTTGCATGGTTGCACCAAGTCTCCTTGTGCATGGTAAAAGGCTGATTAAATTCTGTAATTCTGAGTTTAGACAGGATTACATAAAGCTGGGCTGAAGGATGTATTTATTCATGAAAAAAAAATTGTGCATGAATAGTCCTTGACTTACTACCATAATTGGGACTAGTTTTTCTGTTGCCAAAGGAGGCGGTTAAGTGAGATGTGCTGGATTTTATGACTGTTTTTGCCCTACTTGTAGAGTGAATCACATTGTCAAGGGAATTCGCTTTCCTCCATTGACTTTGGTTGTTGGAAATTGGCAAGAAAGGTTGCAAATGGCAATCACATGACCCTGGGATGCCACAACCATCATAAATACATGCCAGTTGCCAAGCGCCTAAATTTTAAGCATGTGATGGTCGTTCAATGTGAAGACTGGTCTAAGTCATTTTTTTCAATGCCATTGTAACTTTGGTTGCTAAATGAATGGTGTAATTTGAGGACTATATGCAGTTTTCTTGCTAGCGGTACAGTCAAGTACTTCCATTAGCTGTTTAAACTTCCCAGCCTAATTTACACCCCTCATATCCCCTAGAGATTTACCATCGAAATATTAATGCACTTCCGAATTGCTTAGGTTCTGAGCAGTTATGTCATGTAACTAACTTCCAATTAATTAGGATTGTTAAAACAGGAAAAGAATTTGAAAATAATCTCTATGCTTTGGGGAATAAGCATTTTTAGAAAATCCAAACATCAGGATATTCCCTGATGGGGCTCAAATAGCTGGTGATTCACTAAGAAAGGAATTACAGGACTTTCTTTGGGAGTTGGCTTTGGGTTTGTATCTTTTTTTTTTAAAGCCAAATCTATGTTGAAATAATTACCCAAGTGGCTACAAAATAAATGTTTGCTTTTACAGCAGGGCTGTCAAACTCGTGGACTGCAGGGCCAGATGCACGCCCACCCCCGGTTTAGTGAAGGGGGAAAAAGTTGCGATACATCATGTGATGCCATGACAATGCGAGTTTGACACCCATTTCACAGAATTGTGTATAAAACACTCAGAATACTGATCAGAACTCTCTCCCCCAAAGGATAAATAAGCTCAGTTGTGGCTAGTTTGATGCAGTGGCGAAGGTGCTGGCTTAGAAATCAGGGGTATTCTAGTCTCAACTTAGGCACGAAAACTGGCTTGAGTGATTTTGGGCCAGTCACACTCTCAGCCCAACCTATCTCATAGGGTAGTTGTGGGAAAAACAGGAGGCAGGAGTATTAAGTGTTTGTCTCCTTGAATTAACACTCATTCTTTCTCCCAGGTCCTTGGGAAAGACCTGATAGGTGAATAAAAATGCCAAGACTAACATCTTGCTCTTAAAACAATAATAATTAGAAGTATGGGCCATTAATGCATCTGAATGATTCAAGATTCAAGACCGGTAGGAATAGCTTTACACTGCACTGCACTACACAGTAAAATTTGCCATCACAATATGCTATGCTATCAGCACAGGCTTAAAGAGTGGAGTAGACACATTAATGGAAGATATAACTATCAATGACTAATAGCTGCAATTATCTATAACCATCAGTATTGGAGGTGGAATGTCACTCAGTACTGGTTGCTAAGAGAGAAAGCTTATTGCTTTCAAGACTTGTGGATTTCCAAGGTACTAACAGCTTTGAGAACAGAATAATTAACTAAATAAGCACTTAGTCAGTGGCTTTTTTTATTGACAAGAGCATATACTTAAAGTCTGGAAAAAATGGAGATTCTGTAAAACTAGCCCCTTTGGACAATAATATGCAGTTAGTTCTAGATGAATTGCATTCCTCTTGAAGGATCAGCAGAGTTTCTATGCACATCCTGATCAGGTAGCAGCAGGAGCCGTAAGCAATATTTACAAGCGCTGGCTTGTAATTATCATCTTGTAGCATTGTAATAACCATTTTAGTTTTAAACAAGGCATCAGTATGCCTTGAAAAATCAACCAAGTCACAAAATGGCACGGCACAGCAATCACACCCAATTAAAAAGTAAAAGGACCAAACCCTCCCCATCCCACTTATAATGGTGACAGTGATGATTACTTAGATTACTTGTACTTGGATGTAGTAACAATTATCCATGCTCTAGATCCCTCCAAGGTAGTTCTACTGTAAAATGCAAATGAAATGAAATGCAAATACTCAATGCTGATGGGAGTCAGAAAACTTGAACACATAAATGAGATTGCCATAAGTTGAGTTGATGGTGTAGCAAGATGTGCTCAATCATGTTAGTGTGTAGTAAGATGTACTCAGTCATGTTAGTGTTCTAGCTACCAGTCCATTGTCAAACCTAATGTTCAATTCTACAACCCTTAAATACTTAGGACCTGGTTATCTAAAATTTTTTAATCCATTCGGTTATTTAAACCTATTAGAGAACTTGTTCTCAGATTCATATCTTTGAAACTGGATGTATGTGTATGTATGCATCCAATTTCTAGTGCTTTAAGTGCTAAACAATGTACCAGTTACACGGGAAGAGGGATTTACTGCCATTTTCTTGATCTGCTACCCTTGGCTATCCACCATTCATCAATGGAGATTCTGTAAAACTAGCCCCTTTGGACAATAATGATCTGCTACCCTTCTTGATCTGCTACCCTTGGCTATCCACCATTCATCTTACATAATTTCTGAGAAGCTCCAACCCAAGATTCTCGTAACGAAGATAGGTCTAGAACTTTTGTTCTGTACAAGGAAGCATGGGTTCAGTTCAAAGATTTGTGCTTTCCAATCTCAAACTCTAATCAGGAAATGGACTCTCCACAGCTCTCGATAAAGAACAAATGTTGGCAGAGGATGCTTCTGCTATTTTTTCTTCAATAATTTATAAAAAAGTAATATGAAATATCCCAATTAAAAAAATGCTTCTCCTTTGAATGTTAAAAGAGCAGCGCTATACAGATTTAAAGATTTAGTATGGTAAATTTGAACTTGAAAAACTGTTTACTTACAAAAGCTTAACATTTTAAAGCCTTTAGGCTTTTATCAATAACATGGCTATTTAAAAATAAAAAATGGATAGACGTATAGATGTATTTAGCATGGTTAAGCATGTATAACCAATGAACCAGACTGGATTTCTATACAGCAAGATCAGATACTGGAAAAATCCACCCTGGCTAAAGAATATGATAAAAATAGAATCTTCAGCCTGTGTGCTTGAGAAATAAGTTAGGCCTATAATCTCCTAAAGCAGTTCTCAACCTTTCCTATCTTCCCATCATTCATTCTATCAAATAACACGGGTCCCACTATAAACAGGCATTTTCTCCAAGGGTGGAGGGATGAATGAATCTCTAGATAGCTATAGATATAGACACCCACAGGCATTCCATTTTACTATCATCTGAGGTAAAGTGTAAAGTCTCTCAAATTTAAATGGCTAATTCTTTATCTGTCCCATATGATGTCTGCATACTACGACCGAGCGATCTTGTAAACTACAAATAGTGTGCTTTTAAAGTATTTTCTGGAGAGTAACTTTTTCACAAACACTGGTTATTTCCTAAAATTAACACACTCTTTCCTTCTTAGAGCAAACCAAAAAGCACAAGCATTAAAACCTCATTGCTAGTTTTCCAGGCTACTTGTTGGATGTCATAAACTGCAGTTTTTAGTGTTGTTCAGCAAAGTTCTTCTGACTTCCCATGCAATCTGGTATGCATCTTTTTAGAAGCAGTTCTCATTTAACTCAGCGGAGCTTACTTACAGACATGTAGACATTAGATTTTACACTTAAGTACTTGTTCCCGGCTATTTTTAGTATTTTCTTTATTGAAGTGAGAGAACCAAACCTTCCCCCAAAAGAATTGGTTATAAAACCTGATGAGATTTGCAATATGCTACTTTTGATGGCTGAAGTGTACTAACCTATAAACTATGGCTTGCAACTCACATAGCTCAAACCAAAGCATAATACGACCGAGAACATTGTACCAGCTAGGTCATTCATGCTTGATATTATAATATATAAAAATGGCACTGCCCTCTAATATCTCATCCCTGAATGAGAATAAAATATTCTGAATTTAGACAATTGGATTCTGGAATGATGTTTAAGGGATGCCAGAGGTTGGAAATAAATTGTAACTGTTACTTAGAGAGGAAACTTAAGTTATGGTAGAATGGATATGTTTTTGGAGTAGAGGCAGGGGTGGGATTCTACCAGTTTGCACCTATTCGCTAGAACCAGTTGTTAACGTTCTAAGCAGTTCAGAGAACCGGTTGTTAGTTAGAAGAAATTACTGGCCGAATCCTGTAAGGCAGGGGTCCCCAACCACCGGGCCCTGGACCGGTACCGGTCCGTGGAACATTTTCTACTGGGCCGCTGGTTTGCTGGGCGCCGCCATCTTGTTTTGATGAGAAAGTGCTTCCGGTGAGCTTTTCCGGTTGGAAAGCGGCGTTTGGGTCCTGAAGGAATCCTTGCGCCGTAGTTTCATCAAGGGATGGGGGGGGGGGGATGGCTTCGAACAAAACTAAGGCGCGAGGATTCTTTCAGCACCCAAGGCAAGGCGAGCTGAGTGACCGTCCCGAAGCCCATCGACAAAGGTACAGAGGAGGAGTTGAAGGTGGCGGGGAGAAGTGGGGGGCAGCTGACTGGCCGGTCGCTTGGCTCGCCTTGCCATGCGTGCTGATGCCAGTACCGGTCCGCAGATCATTTTGTGATGCCAGTACTGGGCCATGGCACAAAAAAGGTTGGGGGCCACTGCTGTAAGGAAGGCAGGAAGGAAACATCCTGGTACTGCTTACAGAAACTGCCTCTCCATTAACCCTTATTACATTCTTGGCAGGATTAGACTTCCTGTCTCAGGAACGTCTCTGGAGGTTTTTTTCCCCCTCCTTTGCTGGTACTTTGCTTGTGTGGAGTGACCATTCAAAGTTACAATGGCACTGAAAAAAGTGACTTATGACCATTTTTTACACTTACGACTGTTGCAGAATCCCCACAGTCATGAGAGGCCAGGCAAGGAGATGCATGCCTCAATGTGAATGATATTGAGTTGGCCACACCCAGCTAATAACATGACCACCAAGCCATGTCTATCCAGTCACATGACCACCAAGCCATACCCACCACCTTAGGACATGCCCACAGAACCAGTTGTTAAAAAATTTGAATCCCACCCCTGAGTAGAGGGGAAAGAATGAGGGGCAGAGAGCAAAAGATATTCATTAGGTTAGAAAGATGGCAGTGGCTTAACAGGAAAACAGCAGGAATTAAGTTAGTGCTTTTAAAGGTGCAAAAGACGCAGACTATGTACATACATGAATACTTACCAGGATGTGCTGCTGGGGGTTCGCAGGGGTTCTGGAGAGCCCCTAGCTAAGATTCTGTGCAGTTCAGAGAACCCCCAAACCCCACTCCTCGCTGGCCCCACCCACTCCTCCCCTACGCTGAGTCCCCACTTGGCCCGTTTTGGATGCAGGTTAAATGCAGGGTGCGCGTGGAGGCTTGGGGAAGGACGGAAAACAGGCCTCCCAGAAGTTCAGAAATGGGCCTGTTTCTGGCTTCCAGAGAGCCTCCAGAGCCCAAGGAGGGCAAATACGCTCCCCCTGCTGTGGTGCAGGCAACTAGGCCACGCCTACCCAGCAACTGGGCAGAGAACCTGTTGCTAACATTTTTGAAGCCCACCCGATACTTACTGCCTTTGATGGATGAAGGTTACTAGACCATATAGTCCATAAGTAATGATTTCCCAGCTAAGGAAAACTTCAGGTTTTTATTTTATACCCAGATCTCCTCTTATTTAAAAATAACTTTACATATTTGTGAAAGGCATTAACTTTCTCCTTTGTATTGTTCTAAAAAGTAATTGGTTTTGAAACTTACTAAATAAAATGCTTTTCTGGATCTTAAGATTATATCCTATTGTTCCTATTTTTATTTATTTGGTGCCTTTGAGTCATTCCTGGTGACTGCCTAACAAGTCTGTACACTTTTCTTGGCAAGGTGTTTCAAAAATGATTTTGCCATTGCCTTCTTGCTGGGGTTGAAAGGGACTGGCCCAAGGTCACCCAGCTGGCTTTACGTCTAACATGGGATTACAACTCGTTTCTTAATTTCTACCCTGATCCCTTAACCACTGCACCAAACTGATTCTCCTTGCTCTTATACGTATGGCATTTCCTGAAACTATCCCCAAGTTTTGTGTCTAATCAGAGCCATCTACAAACATTCCAAGAATTTTTCTGTGCAACTTTTTTCTGTCATTTTAATGTCACAGAGATCCATTTATATTTAATGTTCAAAGAGACCCCTGTCAGAGATATTTTCAACCATCAGGTTTAATTTCCTTAATCTGGTTAATAAGGTTCGTACTTGCTGGCACCAACAATCTTCCCCAGATTTTATTGATAGATTTGCTATTTTATTCCTTTATTTTTGCTTACTGCATGGATTGTATTCCCAGGATAGCTTTAAAGTAAATTTAAATACCAAATCATAGATGTTTGCTTAATCCTGGTTTTATAGTAGGTTTTGAAGAAACCAATTTGCTATTTTTGTACTAGCAAACTGTAGCTTTTGATGCACAAAAGATCAGGTATAGGTTGACAGGAATAAAACACCATGAATTAAAACAAATCAGCATGAATAATCTGTATGTTACATGTTACATCCCACCAAAGTATGTTAAATATTTATAAATCCAATTCCTATTAATTAGCACCTTTTATCCAGAAGACATCAACATCCCAGTATTACTTGTACAATATATTATGTTTACTCTTTTGTATAAAATAAACAGATTGTAGATCATATAGAATCTCAAGAATTCAGAGAAATTAAAAAGCAAGAAGGAAATAAGGGCTGTAAACATTATTTATAATCTTAAATGTCGTTAAGATACGAAATATGGATAGAAATTTTTAGAATATGGCCATATTCCAGTGCTTTTATAACATTTCAGAATAAACTCCTCTAGCTCATGCAGCATATTTATTCCAAGAAGTGTGCTCCATGTATGTTCAACTGCCATCAATGTATAGGATAAACAAAACCACAGGTATTTGCTAAACTGGGTGTGGCCAGCGTGTGACGCACCTGGCCCGTGAGTTTGAAACTCCTGGCTTAGAATATTGAGCCTAGAGTTCCTAAATTTTGATAATCTCAAATGTACTTTAAAGTATCAAAATAGCATTTGCTTCAATTTTGGAGGCTGGAATTGGCCAGACAAAATAAACGGTTGAAAATATGGTTCCAGTGCTTTGTGTATGTAGCTTTAGTGCCCTTTGTTAGAACTGCTAATTATGAATGCACTATAACGTCACTAAGATTTGCAAAGTTATGCAGATAGAGCAAATGTCTACTACCGATACAAACTAAAATTTTTCTGGCTAAAATATTGCTAGCATATATCATTTTAATAGTGCAGAATTCATAAGATAGTAAATGTGGGAAGGAAAAATGCATAGTGGATTAGACAACTTGAGTTTTCTCATTCACGCTGTTACAATGCTGCTCAAATCAAGGGTAATCAATATGCAGACCCCACATATTTTTTTCTTGAAATGTTTATTCCAAAATCCACCCCATTGAAACAAAGTCTCCCTTCAGAGGCTGGTATCTTTTCTTCCCCCTTTCACTTGTGCCTCAGATCTGTGGTAATATGTTTGAGGAAAGATTCTTTAAAACTGTTATTGGCAAATGATTAGAAAATGAAAAATCCCAACTAGGTCCCCTCCCCTTTAGCCCCAAATGTTCCCCAACCCTAAACATGTCAACCGCGAGAGCGCAAGACTTGGTTTCTTTTACCCTTAACGCTTACATTTAATTTTGAAGCACAACATTGGAGATTGACTCTAAGTTAGCAACAAAAAAAATATATATTTACAATTTCTTCAAACAAACCAACCAAAGAAAAGAAAAACACAAAATAACAACCAAACCCTTTTAGACAATAGTGACTTTCTTAGGGAGTTTTATTTAGGGAGCATGTTTGTCTTCTTTTGTTTCTTTTTTAAATCACCAAGTGATTTTATATATAATTTTTCTTTCCTTTGTGTCACCACTTGCCCTCTGAAGCGATGATCAGTTTAGGCAATGAAGTTTCACAATTACTTTAAGTCTCTTAAGCCACAGTCACTCGAGGGCCATTTCTGAGAAGGCTGTAGGATAATAAAACCTAAACTCACAATACCCACCCTCCCCAATCAGTCTGCTGATGCTTTTTCATCCCTCTTGCCGCAGGACGAGATTCCTCCCAGACTAATGCTCCTGTCATGCCAACTTGCTGCAGTTCAGCACTTCTCAGGCTGATCAATGCACGTGGAGAGTTATGAAGGTGCTCCCACTTTTGAGAAAACAAAAACATAAAATACCCAGAGTGTAGAAAACTCAATGTGGGAGTTATCTGGGCAGATGCACTTGAATCTCCTATTTATGGCTATTCTCACCTTCCTCTTGGAAACAAACAAACAAAAAAGCACAAAAAGATTGGTTCTACAATTTTTTTTTTCCACAGGAGCCAATACAACAAGGCAGAAAGTTTCCACTTCTAGGAGATCAGTGGGCATTTTTGCAGAAAAATTCAATTTGCAGCAAAGCTCCTGTATATTGAGGCACTCTGGAACTCATCACACTAGCATTGTCCTCTTGGCAAAGAAGCCTGCTCCTCATATGGAAGTGAGGGGGGAACCATTGGATTTCAGTAGATCTAAATGTATCTCCCTCACCCCATCCCCATTAGTGCAGGGGAACTCAAGTCTTCCCCGAGGCTCAGTTGCCACAGCATTCAATGCAATGAGGCTGGGCGATTTGGAGAGTTATGGGTGGATTCCTCCCCCTCCCTTATTGCTTCAGAAGCAGCAGCGAGGGTGCATTGGGTCTTCCTCCAATTCTGTAACCACTCTCCTCCTTTCCCTTGCTGCACAAACACTGGAGAGCTGCTTTTTTGCCATTTGAAGATCAGAGGGGGAGGCCAGGGGGGAGGGCAGTCCAATTTGTGCTATCACTATGGGGAAGAGAGCAGAGTGCAAAGTGTGCATTCAAACCCTGACAAACTCAGACAGCTGGAAGGAGTGTCCAGTCACTCAAGCAGGGGAAAATAAAATAGGGATCCAAAATATTACCTTTCTTTCTAAAGTGCAAAAAGCTCTCTGCTGCCCAAGAGAGAAGTTCTTTGGACCGGCCATTCATTGCAAAGGAAGAGAGGCAGCTAATGGAGCATTAACCCGTCTCTCAGCTCAAGAGCCAACAGCTATGCACCCCGCAGGATGCAGGCATTTGTTCTAGCCAGCATCTCTAAGAATGCTAATTTCAGCAGACATATGGAACAACAGAGACCATTTCTGCTGGTGTTAGAAATCCCAATAGATGCCCCTGAAGCCTTCAAGCTATACTGCAGCTTTTTCTCTACACAAATGCTGCCATCCTTTCATCGCAGGAAAGGTAGAACATGCTTGTCTGACACCCTCTCCCTTTTCTGGGATAATCTAGGATAAGAACATGGCTTCCTTATTCTGAAACTTCCGCCATCCCCTCACTAGTCTTAAGTTGGGAGACGCCTGCAAACTGAACCTCACTACAAAGCAGGCATCACTACTGCGGACATGTAGTTCTGAGTAATCGGCACAATGCAGTAGCTGCCCATTCAGCTGCTGGTGAGTGAGAAAAGGAAGCTTAGCAGAATGTGGTGGGCAAGAGCAGTTACTCTCAAGTCTTAGTAACTCTGAAGACTTAGTAACAAATTGCATACCAAGACAGTAAAGAAACAGGGAGCAGAAATGCACCTGTTTTATACTATCCAGGTCACGTTTCCCATTATCTGATGAGGAAGTATAATTTGTTTTCACAGGATTTATGAGAAGGGAGAAAGGTGGAGAGAAAAGGTCATGTTTCCCCCTGAAAAAGCGGCTACAAAAAGTTAAGAGCATGTAGCTGATGAGCAAGTACCCCGACAAGAGCAATTGTCCATCTCTTCTTGCTGCCACTTACTCAACTGCCTGGTGGGATTTTCTGGTTTACAGAAGTCCCAAGTAGAGGAGGGTCATTACAATCACAATCAGGCTGGCATGTCTCCTGACTGTAGAGATGGGGTAAACTGAGGGAGGATCTGCTCTCCAAGAGGGGTTGTCTGGGATCTTTCCTTCTCTTCAGTCTTTCTGTGGCAAATTTCTAGCTGATTTTTTGGATCAGCTTTTCATCTGACAGGCAATAGAGGCTGTTGATTGACAGGTCTGAAATGAAGTGCTCGCAGGCCTTGCGGGTGATCTGTTTGCAGCCACGCAGATCTATCAGAGTGACATTAGAGATGCGTCGCAGGTACAGCAGGGACTGGTCTGTGAGCTTATTGCAACCTATGGAAAGTAAGGCAGTATGATACACATAATATTCACTTCTTTATTATATTTTATCCTGCCTTTATTACTTTACAAGTAACTTAATGTACAAACACATATAATATTCTTTTTACACCACCTCTTTTCCCCAGGACAACCCTGTGAGGTGAGGTGAGTTAACAGTGACTGGCCCAAAGTCACCCAGCTGGCTTTCATGCCTATTTTGGGACTAGAATTCATAGTCTCCTGGTTTCTAGGCCAGCACCCTCACCACTACACTAAACTGGCTCTCACACTCACTTCTTCCATGGGTAAAAATATTACAGAGCAGAAGAGATAAAATGCACAAGAATACCGAAACACGCATTTAAACAGTATTTCTTCATTAGCAGTTCCTAATCTTTTCTACGGTCTGATCTGACCAGTTAAGCATGTAACAGAACAGTTCTTCAAGCTGACACTATTAGCAATCAGACAAGCTGTTATGGAATAAGACAAGTACTATTGAACTCTTACCATTTTGTAAATGATTATTTTCCTTCAGGGTTATATGCCAATTTTTATTGAATGTGGATTTGCAACAATCAGTAAAACGCTTGCACTATACAGGATTTAATTTTAACATGCTAGTTCAAATGCATTTCTCAAAAAAATATTTATAATGGAATACTATCCGAGTTCAAATACATGCAAGGTAAATTTTACCTCTGGTGACTGTTTTGCTATATTCACATTTAATAAAGACTGGAGGAAAAGCCTATGAAATATGGAAGATAAGCACCTCAAACTTTCATAGGCCTTTGGGTTCTGAAAGATACGTTTGTGACTTGAGAGCAAAAGAGATCACTATCTGTTTAAAATTGCCCTCTTCTGCAACCACAGGGCAAGAAACCAGAGATCATGCAGGCCAGTGGTTCTTGCCAGGGTAGAATGCAGAGATGTATTTTTTAAAAATGCAAGTGCACATACCTGCCATATTAATTTCAGTGAGTGAGTTTCGTGTGGAAGATCCCACAGCTGTTAACAGGTTGGCTGACTGGTCTGTAAGGTGATTGCAGTGACTAAGATCAAGTCGCGAGAGCATAGGCATGTGGCGAATGATGAGCCGGAGTGTGGCATCAGTAATATCCAGCCCGGCCAATCGGAAGTCGATCATGTTACGGAGTTTGCTGCGATTGTCTTGACCTATTGTATGATACACAGTAACGTTTGAAAGGGCACAAAAAACAACTATCGTATATTTCAGCCCCAAACTTCCCCCTTTTAATTTTCCTACTCATTATCAATCTGTCTGTCACCCACAAGCTCTCCAGAAATTCCTGCTGTGTGCAAATGGCAAACAAACATACTGGGTTTATCTGATGGAGGTGTCAGCAAGTCCCGAATCTGAGGATCCTTGATTCCTACTGCCCACCGAAGATCGAGGGTCCTGAGAAGGGGGCAGGTAGAGGTACTGAGAGCAGATACTGCTGACCAGGAGCAGCCTGCCAAGATGAGGTCTTTGAGGCCTGTTGAATGATAGATGTGAAAATCTTTTAAATAATTTTCTGTATATATGTCCAGGACCCCAGCTACTGGACTTTTACTTTGAGCCCTCATTCCAGATTGTAAATGTGAGGCAATAGTTGATCATTGCTGAAGTCCACAGTATAAAAACAATATCAGTATTGTAAGAACAATGCTTCTTTGATAACCCATTAACATTTGCCTCATAGCTTGTTAAGAATTAGGCCAAAGTAACAAATCTAATCTATGGTTATCTTTGGGAAAGCAAATGAATGTCATATTATGATATTCAGAATCCTAAACTATTTTCACAAACAACCTTAGTGATCAGCTATCATAGGAAATTAATCTGTTAAATGGGAAACCTTTAATGTGAGGCTCTGACAGAAAGATGCATCTAACCTGATGAAGGTACATACCTGGTAATCTGTTGATGAGCCAGGTAAGCTGTTTTCTAGAAATATTGGTCCAGCTGAGGTCAAGGCTGACTGGTTGCCTCCTGATTATACCACTAAGAGCCAAGGGTGTGATGGACTTATACCTGCTTAAGTCAATCTTTGTCCACAATCTCCTATCACCGCACCTATCAAATATATTGATTTAGACAGAGAACATACTTTCCTACATCACTTATATAACAGTTCCTGACAAGTCTCTCACCACTATCTTTTGGGGGCAAGACTAAGATTATTATAGAGGAGTGCATCAGTATATACTCTGAAACAAAGTCTAGATAGGAAAGACATAGCTTGAGATATCATATGGATATAAGCTTATTTTTTTTTTCTGTCTTGGCCATAGTTACCTTCCAATTCTTCACTACACACACACACACACACACACTTTTATTTTTATATGAAAGTTAACCTTTTCTATTTACAAGTATAAGGTTGGACATGGCTTTTTACAGTAGTCAGGTCAATAATCTTTCAAACAGTGCATTTGGATCTATGAAGCTTTTCAGTGGTAAGAACCATTTTTCTGGATAATCACTGACACATTTACTCCCTCCCAATTCCTATAGATAAGATAGATGCATGTTCACTACATATGAAAATATCGCATTCAAAACACGAAGACAGAGAACTAGAAAAAATCTAAATGATGGTTCATGCTTGCTGTTTGACTTCAACCTAAATATATAAACCAGATCCTGTGGCAGGCTGAGGTCAGATTATTTTTTCCACTATAAAGGGACCGAAGAGGCAGGTCTGAAACCTATGCAGACTAAAGAATTGTGTAGCAATACACCCAGATCGAATATTTCACTTGCAGAGATTTGTAATGTGAACTCATACATATTCCAATATTAAGTGCTGTACACTTAAAAGCTCATCGCTAGCTTTTTGCACTGAAAGATCAAAGATCAAAAAAATCAAAGCAAAGTGCTTTAAATATTTACTGATAGAACAGAACCATCTTTCGTTGATATATAAATGCTTGAACACAAAACTTAGAATTCAGGGAGTTTAAAATGCACCAGATGGCAGTTCTCTTTAGAATATTGTAGCATACTTCAGTCATGCCCAGACTGTGGCATGTAAAATATTACACTAGATCAGTCCAGAATATATGCTTCCAATGAACATGATTCCATTTTCAGCTATTACTAGCAAAGCAATTATTTATAATCTGCACGTTTATTTTTTCCCCCAAATTGTCACTTGAGCATGGAACCGATATGCACATTCTAGACATCGTGTATAGACAAATATTGTTGCATAAATATCTTTATTCCATTTTTGTATCCCCATTTCTGCTTATTCATAAATCTGTCAGTTGAGGCCCAGCAAATACAACCTGATCTATGATTTTTGGGTGGTATGTAAGGATTGTGTAAGTCACTGTGAAAAATAAAGGCATTACAGAAATGAGCTGTAAAAACTGCTCTGGCAATAATTTCTGTACACTTACCATTTGTGCCAGGTTTTGCATACACGCATACATTCACAAAGCTCCTTGCGAGTAAGGTATCGGAAGACAGACATCCATACTTCCTTTTGCATCCAGATTTCCTCACCATCCGATGCCCTGCCCCCCTGTCCATTTAGCCTGGCTGCCCCATTTTCCTCAGCATTCTCTTCTTCTTCATCTGCACTGTCATCTTCCTCTTCCTCCTCTGCTACTTCTTCATCTCCACCCCGCTGGGGTGTCCTGGCTGAACTTTGGCGCATGACCACACGGGGGGAGTGTCTCAGATTAGCGGAGGCAGTGATTGCCTGCAACTTGGGTACAATTGAAGTGCCATGCATGTCTTTGGTAGGTCTTTGCAATGTGACTGTGAGATATGAACCATGAAGCTTGGCTTTTTCTACCTCTGAAAGCTCTTTCTTGCCACTAGGGTTGTTTTCCTTTTCCCGCACAACTGTACGTTCTGTGCCCTGTAGTCGAAGCAGCTGTCGTCTCTTAAAGCGTTCATCCCGACTGGCACCATGATGGTCGCTAGGACCTGCCCCTGGAGAGGACCGTGTCACTATGCTTCGAGGTGACACAGGATCATGGATCAGCTGCAGCATTGGGGTAGGAGAGTGGGGTGGTGGAGTCAGAGGTTCCTCACAGCTTCGCAGGGGACGCAGGACTTTGGCTTGAACTGTGTCATCATCACCATCATCCATTTTCCGTTTCTAAAAAGTGAGTGATATTAAGTTACCATTTAAATATCAAATAGGAGTTTGGGCCTTGGAACGAATGCCATAGATCAGGGATAAATAGGATACTCGAAATCCCTCTCTTTTCCTTTCTATGATTGCCACGCAGAAGCCTACATTTGTTCAAGTAGAAAAATAAAGCAGAATGGAAAATGTACACTGATTTACTACATTAAAAGGCTGACGGTTAGAGGTCCCAGTACGACACTTGATGTACTAATGTCTCAGCAAAGATTGAGAACTCCTCTTTGCACTTTAATACTTTCAATTTTTTTAAAAAAAACATTAAACATGTCTTTTCCCTTAGGGAAAGTGCAGGGATAGCAGCATCATGTGAGATATCAAGAGCAAAAGGAGAAAAGACAGGCTGTGTCATCACTCTTCATTTCCTGTGTGGCACAGAAAGGAAGCAGAGATAAAGTTATATGGATGGAACACGAAGAAAAGGAAGCAAAGAGAACCCCCTACAGCGCTTAAAGAAGCCGGTACTGCCTCAGTGGAAAGAGTTGCCAGTTTCTTCGCAGGAACAACCTACTACGCTACCAGTTATGCAAACATAGCTGCTATAGAATTTTTAGATTTTTGAGAACGCTTGATTATAAGTACAGAAGAAAGGGGGTGTATTTTTGTTACGAACATAATTTTTATCTCTTCTTTCCTTAGCAGACTTTGTCCTTTCTTTCATTTTATTTCCTTATTGTTTCCCATTGTTTCTCCTTATCTCCACAGCTTTCTACTGCAGTACTTTTTTTTATTTCCCTCCTCATCACTACCCCACCCGCAGCCTTTTTGTCTGGGTTTTTCCTCCCTTCCCTTCTTGCTATTCCCAGACAAGAAGTTAGATTGCAAAGCACAAAATTGTTTCCTTCCTTCTCCTTTTGTAACTGGTAATATTCAGGAAAGTGATTCAAGTTGCTCCTTTACTGCTTTGACCCGCTGACATATATGTTTAACACATTATTAAAATTGCTGTTCTTCACAAAGTTTGCCTTTCTAGCTTATATAATTTTCCTTTGTGAAATAAAATGGACACAAATTGGATTTCCAACTTGCACTATTGATTAAGCATCAGGATCTATAGATGTAATGCAAATTGCATTTCTGTAATATATAATGCAAATTACCAAGTTATTTCTGTTTCATATTAAATTTTGACATTTAGTTCTGTGGTAGAATTACACCTTATTTAGGGAGAAGCTCGGAGAAACACATGGGAGATCTATATTATTGCAGTCATCATTTATTTAAAACACTTCTATAGCTGTCCATCTTTCAGCCAACTGTGGGTGGCTCCTGATCAAAAACTAAAAAGACATATAAAATCATTTTTAAAAACTGTCAAAAAACAACTGGTCAATACATAAAACATCAGAACAAGAAAAATCTGGTGCCAATCCTTGTTAATGTGCCGTTATCTAAGCCACTCCCTATACTTGGGGGGAAAGCCAGGTCTTTAAGAAGGCTAAAAAGATGGAAGCCTGTCAAACTTCAGGGGACAAGATGCCCATAGGGTAAGGGCTGCCATGGGAAATGTTCCCTTTCTCCTATTAAATAGTATTTAGGGAGCTGACCTATCTGATCTGGTCAATATCCTTACGGAAAGGAGGTCCTCCCCACAGATAACTTGGCTTCATGCAATATGGGGCTTTAAAGATGATGACCAGTACCTTTATTTCCACTTGCAAATGAACTGGACGTCAGTGCAGCTTGCATAATACTAGTGCTATGAGGGCAAACCTATTAATCCCTGTTACTATCTGCTCTGCCGCATTCTGGACCAGTTGAAGTATTGTGGTAATCTAGATGGGAAGTGATCAAGGCTTGAGTGACTGTGAGCAAAGCCACAGGGTGCAATTGGTTTGATCATGATAAAGTCTGCAGATTTTTAAGGAAAGCATATTCCAGTAGCTGTTCTATATGGAGTTCTAACTTCCTCACAACTAATTTTTGAAGGATTTACTTGAGAGACTACCTGTTTTCCATACTATCTGCCTGGCTGGTTCAATCTGGCAGGATTTGTAGACCCCAGAAGTGCACCTTTTCTGTAGCAATACTTGTCCTCTGGGATGTGGTTCCCCCTCTAAGATTCAAAACTACTCTACTGATATTTCAAAAGGCCCTCAACATATTGGCTCTTTGCCCAGATCTTTGGTGAGATGGTTAATGCTCCTTTGCTTCCTTTTCCTTGTTCCCACCCAAGTTTTTCTCTGCTTTCTTTTCTTTTTTGCATTTCTTGTTTTGTTACCTTTTAAATGCTTTTAACAAATTGTTAACCATCCAAAGTTGCTGGGAGTTGAATGTCCTATAAATTTAACTGACTGTGACCAGAACCATCTTTCTTCTACAAACCCTTTAATTCATTTGAATGCAATATATTTTCTTCTTCCAATTGGTCTCAAATTATCTGTACTGGTCATACAAATGTTACCAAAGTTTAAAGCGATATATATTCAAGATTATCTATGCCAAGGTACAAAATAAAGCTAGGAAGTTTCAATAGTGTACAGTATACATGTACCAGAAGCAGCAAATGAATGGATGTGAAAAACAAGCCAACTATTCTTCCAGACTGAAATAAAACACAACTTCTTTAAGTTGCTAGTTTAACATACAGATTAGGAAGATGCTACTTTTTTTGTCAAGATTTAATTCGCTAGCAAGTATTCAGGTTATGAACCAAGTTCTTTCTATACTGAATAATATTCCATATATAGTATGTCATAATCAATGGCTCATATAAGGACTCCTTACTACTATGATCTGAGTTCCTTAGGACAGGAATGAAGTATTGGAGGGCCACCCAGAGGCCAAATATTCTCCCATTTGGAAATAGCTCTTGCAATGCTCAGAAAGGGATTACCACCTTGCAGTTTTCACTAGAAAGTTCTTTGTTGGGATAGTAGGCCCAGCAGCCCAACTTTGCAGCTTTTGCACTGTCATGTATTTGCTATTTAATAACTGGATGCTGATTTCCCCCCTGGCAAAATGTCATAACTTACTAGATTCCAGGAAGATCATAAGACAAAACTGTGAAGCAATCTGCTTATTATGAACAAGGCAATTTCTCTTGTGCTCATTAATATATGCAAGTATTTTCTGCAATAACACCCAAAAGTTCACTTGCTAGAACTACTGATGCACTTCCTGCAACTTCACTTCCTCAATACACATAAATAAATCAAGAAACGGAGATGCTGCACCAATCTCAGCTTCCTAGTCATAAAGGCTACATAAAATATTAAGCCGCTCCACAAACAACAGTTTGTCTCATTACTCAAGAGCAGGATACTATGCACAACCAATTAAAAAATCACTTCTTTACCTGGCCTTTCTCTGCCTCATCTCCCTTGTAACACTTCGGGCATTCCCAGCAATTTGGCAATTCCTCGTTCAGTAGCCCTTCCCCATCCATCTGCAGAAGAGAGAAACTCAGCAATAATTTCCATGTTGGTAAGACGCACATTGGTGTCATTCTTATAGCAAATCAAATCAAATCAAGTTGTCTGTATGGAATTTAGAGCTCCTCACCTGTAAACAGCCAGGATGAACAATTTCATTGCAGATGCAGCACTCCATTAGTTTCTTGTCAAAGTCCTGGGAATCTTCATTCTTATCTACCTCTCCACAAAGTGCGCATGTGACAGAATGAGGCAGTCTGGGCTACAAAGTTAAAACAAGAAATCAGACCAGAAACTTCTATTTGGACTTCAAGGATAGTTTTGGGTTTTAGTTCAGGGTTATTTTCAAAAAGAATCACAGGCTTCATCCCCTTCATTTACACAAATCAAAGCTTATTTCTTTTGCAAAGACAACTGGTTTTTCTCTTGTAGCATCACTTACCGCCAAACATTGCCTTAAAATACAAGACTGTTTCATGCGACCAGGCCCTCCAAATTTCTTCATATCTTTGCAGTAATGACACATGCCACATTCACCCTGCAGGCAGGCCTTGCATTTACGACATCGTACCCGCCTCCTTCGTGCACCAGATACTATAGGAGAGACTGTGGGTCTCACAGTTGCAAGTCGTGGAGCTGGTTTCATGGTATGGGGCTTGGTGATAGGGATGGCAGGTAATCTTAACTTTGGCCGAGTCTGAAGCTTGAGCTGTCAGTGTAGGGGGGAAAACGGTATTAAATCTAGAGATTCATGGAATACCAAAGATTCTTCTTTCAAAAGACCACAATGCGATAATAGACATTCAATCACAGAAAAGCTCTAAACATGGGAACAGAAAAAAAATTATGTATGCAAAGGGAAAAGAGCTTGATAAGATAAGATGTCTAAATAACAGGATTATTTTATCATTAACTAATTCTGAGTTGTGGCAATGATAATTCCTAGAAATCAGCACTTTAAAAATACTATGTACGTTATCCTTAATTTTACTTTCTGCATACTACAATTATGTGCATTTGTAGGAATAAAGGCAGCAACAAGAGTCTGTATCTTGGGTCTTTAACTGAAATAAGAGGCTGGATTTAACACAGTGGATTTATATTTTCAACACAAATTTTCCAGTTATTAGAACAAACACAGAGAACCATTATTTACCTTATCCCTCTTCGGCCACTGGACAATAGGGATTCCAGTAAGTGCCAGTTTGGGATCACTGTTTGAATACTCTTCAAGCAATAGCTATAGCAGAACATAGAAAATAAAAATATATCTTTAAACTTCATATAGCATTTTAAAATTATTCAATACATGTTTAATATTCATCCTTAAGAATAACTTTCTGTAAAAATAAGTAGTCCCATTTATTAATGAAGGTTTTGCATAGTGCTACCTGTAATCTACATCAACTACCCAAAGCATATACCATCTTCAGTTAAAAAAACAAAAACAAAAATTTGTGCAGACATATGGACTATCTTTACAATCCAGTTTTTATTGTTTCCATACTATTACAATGTCCAACTCATACAGAAAGGAATGTCTAATGCATCAGTGCTCAACTATTGTGATTAGACTTACTTTTAACCTTAAAACAGACAATTTGGCCCTAAAATTCAACAGCAGGTACTAAGGCTATTTTTTTCTAATAATGTTGCTTTAATGTTCATCTGTCTTTTTCATATACTGTAGCACTAAATAGCCTGAGTCACCAGTCTGCTGCTCAGTGTTAGCAGCATGTGGCTAAAATCATAGGTGATTTTGCATCTCTTCCTAAATATTTCCCCCCTCGTTTCTGATGCTTCTGCTGTCCACCCCACATCCACCCACTCGATTGCCGTTTCAGATGTGCTTTATTTACTTGGGGTTACTATGGATACATTACTGGCATTGCCTTGTGCAGGGAGTGCAGTGTTTCTTGCTGCCAAGATGGAAAGAACACTGCATGGGCTGGGCTTGCTCTTGCTGGCACTAACCAATGCAAGGAATTCATATTCCCATATGAAGCTTCTGCTGTGAAATGTCTATTAGTATAAGAGACTTTAAAATTGCCAAGAATTGGGGGAAACCAACATTGAGGATTTAAACCAAATATAAAGGTATCTATCCAATCTATCTGATTAATAGATTGCCCTAAGTAATGAACATATATATGCGACAAAAGAAGAAACGGAATTCTCCTACTCCTGAATCTGTAATCACGCAGACTATCACCTTTATACAATGACAAATATGAATCTATTCAAAGAAAAAAATTGATAGCACATTTTATTTACAGATGTAGGAATAAACAACAATTTAAGTGATGTTTAAATGCGAAGATGGAACTTCCAAAAGCAAAAACAAGAAACCAATCAGGCAGAGCTATTTCCCTATGACACAGAAACTGTACAGTACTGTTTTAGTTTAGTCCAAACCAATAATCCTTAAGCAGGTCATACTTTCCCCCTAATAAAGTAGGAGACAGGAAAAAGAAATATTCCTTTTCACCCTTGGCTGACTAGTCTCTTATCTGTTTAAAATTTTGGAAGCTCCTCACATATAAAATTAAACAGATATATGTGAAGTGCTTCAAAACTAAAATAAAATGGCACTTTAGCAACAACACAGAAACAGTAACAAAATCTGCCAATCAGATAAAGGGTGGTTGTTATCTGGTTCAAAGATGTTATTAAAAGTATTCTTGCAACATGCATGGATTAAAATCTGTGTATGTCAGAATGAAGTTGGATCACTTGGATTGCTATACTGATAACACCATTTTTACTAGTGCACATCCCGGATAACAATTAAAGGCCAAGAACCACTACCCACCTCAACATTTGTCGTTTAAATAACAGAATTGCAGCTTTTTATGAGACCTACCATTTTACTTTGGGTTTATTTTAGGAAGTTACAATGTAGTTGATAAGAATGCTTTTATAGAATCCCTTTTAAAAGAAAAGGCAAACTTCCATTATAGACCAAGGGTCATTCAAAAAACAAAAACAAAAAAAACCCCACAACCTGCCTGCGTTTTAACAAAACTTAATTGGGTTTAAATTTTTTAACGGATTTTTAATCCACCCTGCTTTGCAACTGTTTCCCCACCCTTCAAGAAAAAAAAAAAACCGTGGGTGGAAGGAAGTGACTGTCGCGGCTAGCCCAGCAGAACATGCAGTCTCCAAGCCCCGCCCTCTTCCTTACGGCACGTACTTAAGAGGAAAGGTCGGCATTTGAGGGCATGAACACACACGCTGCTGGGGGGGGGGAAAGGTGGGGGGGGGGGGAAAGAGACACACACAAACTCCTTCAGTCAGAGGCACTTTAGGGGGAGCCGCAGAGGCGTGTAAGCTGCGAGGACGACAACACCCAGTTCCACCAATTCCCAGGGACATTTAGAAAGAGCCCATTCGGGAGCAGGAAGAGAAAAGAGATAGAAAAAGACCCATCGCGGAACTAACTCTGAGAACACGCGACTTTCAAACACGCAACGCATCGCTGACAAACTTATAGAAGTCGAGGGTCTTGCTGCCCTTTAAAGCCAAGCTAAGCGGCCTGGCGTTTCCCCTTCAATTCAAACAACCCCCTCCCCCCCCCCCCTCCGAAAATGCAGACAAGCACAGTGAAAGGAAACGCCGCCGGGAAAGCCCGCTCAACCGCTCTCCACGGGAACGCGGGGATCCGCTCATTCAGCAGAAGTCCACTCCCCGATCCTGAACCCAGCCCCACAGTTCCGGATCTGCCTGACCTTGCGCGCTCCGTTCCACCGAAGCAGCCGAGAGTCTCGCAAAGGAAGTTTCCTGCTATAGTCTCTTTGTTTTCTAGTCTGCCCAGTTACCGCTTCGGGTTCGATCTTTTTTGCCCCAAGGTATACAAGTTTGTTCCCATCCAATTCTCGTTCTCCCGGGCGAGGATTGCGGTGAAACGGGGGCCACTTTTAACAACTCTTGTCAGCCCGAGCAGCTGCCTGGCCGGAGCATGCTCCTTCCAGAACCCTTCAGCGGAAGCTTCCTCTGCCTGCAAACAATGCTGCTGCGTCACCCACATGCAGTTCCCAGCAATGCTTTGCAACGGAAGATGGCAGGAGAGAAAGGAGGCCGAGCGAGCGAAGAACAGAACGGAAAGCCGTTCTGCTGCAGAGTCGGGAGGAGGAGGAGGGGGGGGGGCTGGACTAAGCGGTTGGCTGCTTGCTAATTGGTCGAAACGGCCGCCTAAGCTGACGCCCTTCTCCCTCCCCCGCCACTGCAATTGGAGAATCCGGGGCCAGCAGCCCTTGGGGCTGAGACTCTGGCAGACTTTCGAGAACAGGAAAGCTTTATTAACCCGTTCTCGGAGGTTGCTGCAGCTACGTCTCTTTCCCACCCCCCACCACCCGCCCTTGCATCCCTATTTTGGTCACAAGCAAATTCCTCTTAATAAGGGTGCCTTTGAACAGTAACAATGGCTTTTCTTTTCTTTAACCGCCTAGAACATGGGAAAGAAAAGGTCTTGAGAACCGTGAAACGGCCGAGAGAGGTACAGCTAGTTTCTTAATGCCGTCAGCTATCCAGCCGCTTTATATTGAAAATGTGAGTTTAAAAGACCGCACGGGAAGTTCGTTGTAAAAGTGAAACTTGTATCTGATGGCGGTTC